GGGGGGGGGGGGGGGGGGGGGGGGGGGGGGGGGGGGGGGGGGGGGGGGGGGGGGGGGGGGGGGGGGGGGGGGGGGGGGGGGGGGGGGGAGTATGTGTTGTCTGAGTGGAGGCCATAGCCACTGATGTTACTCGTTGGCGTCAGCGGAAATAAATAGATGGGAGTCGTAGCTACTGGCAAAATGCTCGACGGTCTTTGAGTTATAGCCGGCCTCCTCGGCCACTGGCGGCCCAACCCCACTCCCTGACCACCGCCGATTAGGTCAGGGGGGGCAAACATGCATCCCCACGGTTGTGAGAGGGGGTAAAACTATGCTTACAGGTCCAATGTATAGGGTTAAGAAAAGTAATGTAGGTAGGTAATGAGAGGACGGCAAAACTTCGTTACAGAGATGCACGAAGGGAAAAACGGAGCAACCGCGGGGAAAAAAAAAACATACCCTCGGATCGAGGCTGCTCAAAACGCACCTGCCTTCAGGGAACGGACACGTGCATCGCTGGCTTGCCTCCCTTCGTCCGTCTTGGCATGCAAAAGCAGAAGGTACGAAAGAAGGAAAAGATTGGTGTTGCATGCACCCATCAGGAATCTGTTAAGTACACTGCGAGAACAGGGATTTTTTAAAGGAGACAAAGGAGACTTTATACCCACGGCAAGACGTGGAATAGTCCCCATGGATCATGCTGACATATTAAGATTCTACAATCATCAGAGAATACTCGGAATCCTGAATTACGGACGTCGTAAGCTGTCAACATCTATCACTGCGTTTTAATATTTTTTTGTTTGGCATAACAAGCATATGCCCCAGCTAAGACGCGGTAAACCCCCACATCTACTAAACTCAGGTTACTCAGCCAGTGGCGCATGCGAGCGAGCACTACAAAATTTGCTCAACAAATTTCGGCGGCCAATCAGGTTTTAAGAAACGGGGAAATCGCGTTCGCTTCGAAGCCTTGTCGTCGTAAAAAATTAAAAAAATTAAAAAAATGAAAATAAAAATTGTCGTCGAATCTGGACTGACATCGATGGATAACTCTCACTAAATAAGCTTTTTTTTCAAAAAAACGAAGTCTCTCAAGTCTCATTGTCTCCGAAAAGATCCTGAAACCGCGGGGTAAAGTCTTCCTCAAGGCTAACACAGAGCTAGATTGCAGTCACGGCTGAGAGGTAAACCGCTTAACACAGAGAGAGCTAGATTGAAGTCCTGCTTAACTGACCCACGGCTAATTGAAATAACACAGCTGAGAGGTAAACTGCTGCTGAGAGAGTCGTGCTTAAACACAAGTACAAAGAGCCGTGCTTAAACACAAGTACAGAGAGTCGTGCTTAAACCACAAGTACTTAGTATTTCCTAGAGTCGTGCCCGTTGACAAGCCACGATTTTAGGCAATGTACGGGCCATGACAGGAGAGTCCAAATTCATTCGACCAGAAACGTTTTGCTACTCTATTTTTTTCCTAGACGGCTTATAGCTGGGCCAAGTACTGGTGGTTTTATTTACGACCACCACGAAAAAAAAAAGAAGCGCAAGGGCATATATTTTTCCACGGTCTATAGCTGGGCCTATATAGCATTCCGACGTATCAATTTCACACCTCGAGAGTCCAACACCACACGTTAAAATTGGAAAGATACAGAAAAGATTAACATGGCCCCTGCGCAAGAAAGTAGGGGAAGGGGGGGGGGGGGGCAAAAAGAAATTCAAAAGGAAGAAAAAGGCGAGGGAGAAGAGAGTGAATGTTCACCACGGCCAGCCACGTGGCGGAATAGCCCACACGTGTCACTGTTAAAAACCAGATTATTTAGCTCAAATATGTGCTATGTTAAAAAAAAAAGTCGACGTATTTAAAACCGAGAAGAAGAAACAATAACATTGGCAATCGCACCACAACGACAGACAGTCTAGCTCCTCTCCATGTCCGAGAAACAGTGCCGTAAAACGACAAGAGAAAAAAAAAAAAAAAAAAAAAGCGCAGCAGAAGATTGGCATTCCCTGCCGTCAAACGAATTCAATTTGTCAAAATAACTGAGATTTAATTTCTTATTCAAACGCTCGTAATCAACAACACCACATTTCGATAATCACGTAACAAGTTAACAATATCCTCTCTCTCTCTCTCTCTCTCTCTCTCTCTCTCTCTCTCTCTCTCTCTCTCTCTCTCTCTCTCTCTCTCTCTCTCTCTCATATGCGCGCGCGCGCTTCCGACCAATCCCTTCCCCGCCAACTACCGTCGTCTGCGAATCCCCGCAGCTTGAAGAGCCTTCGGGAGAAAGGCAAACTGACGTAGCCCAAAATACAATGTGATGACGTTCTAATTAATAGTCAGCCAAAAATTTGAAAAAGGCCTTGAAAAGACGGGATCCAACGCCCGACGCCAAGGTAACTAGTACGCAATACAAGGCCACACACGCTTGCACAATTCCCCAACATAAGGCCAGGTTTGGAGCAAATCATTTGGAAGAAACGGATCGATGGCCACAGACGCGAGGCTTGTGGGCACCTCCCTCCCATAGCAAAAAGAAACAGAAAAAAAAAAACTAAGGAAACGCGTGAAATAGTGAATAAAACCCGTCTTCCAATTTGCTCGCCGGTAATAGTTGTTATCAATAGCATTAGCAAAACGCATGAAATAGTGAGTAAACCTTCTTCAAACTGGACGCCGCTAAAAATTATCTATAATACCAATATTAGTATAACAAATTCAATTCAGAATTAAAAAAAAAAAAAAAAAAAACAGTCCAGCCAAGGAGCGAGGCTTCACCTCCCGTCCTCGATAAGTCGACACAAGACCTCTATCCACAGCAATAATCGGAGGACAAATTCTTTCAGGAGGTCCTGGAACGTTTCGACTACTAAGGGTCAGATCCCACTACCCTGGATTAGTCATTTTTCACCCTCGATTACGACGATCAACGGTCAGAAAAGAACAATAGAGACTAGTGGGATCTGGCCCTAATAACCTCTCGTCCGTACCCGTCAAAGCGAAAAGTAACCTCTCGTCCGTACCCCTCAAAGCGAAAAGTAACCTCTCGTCCGTACCCCTCAAAGCGAAAAGTAACCTCTCGTCCGTACCCCTCAAAGCGAAAAGTATGCCTTTTCCTGGGCTGAAGAAAAGACCTCCCTTGCACTGAATGCCACACTACCCCATCTCTCTGCCGTCCATACTCAGCCTTACGGAAAGCGTGGAACGTAGGCAGAAAGGCAGGTAAAGCCGATACCAAATCACGTACCCTTCCTTAGGCTTATTTCGAACACACTGCAGTCCTTCCCGATTATTTCCCTGACTCTTTCGCATAGCATACTCATTCCTTGAACGCTCTACACTGCTAACGACAGACTCGGGTTGTCTACGAGTACCAGGCTAACAGCCACTGTCACTTGGCCGTTTCCGACGACGGACAAACCAAGCATTGCCCATACTCTCGTCATCCTCAAGACAAGGACGGAGATAAAGCAAATCGTCGTACGGATCTCTTCATCGTCGTCCAGTACGGCAGGTAAAAGCAAAAGCCCTCCAGGCGAAGGTCAACAACCGTACGACCAAATCGACCGCGGCAGCTGCCCAAATTCAACCCTGGCGATTATTAACCAGATGAAAAAATGACGACGCAAATGCCAGACAAGTCAGACAAACAGCGTCGCCGAAAGCACGTCCTCTTAAAAATTGAGGACTGCCTTTTCTTTTTTGCTTAACACTCTACGACGAAGTCCGTTACGCGTGCACAACAACAACAGCAACAGCAACAGCAACAACAACTGTACGATGGAACGCTACGCTAGCTATGCCCGCAGCGCATTTCGCTCGTAACCAACTCCCACGGCGGCGGGCACTCTCCTTCCTCTACATCATTACCATACGCCTATCCACCAATCCATCCGGTCCATAAGCGCCAAGGATCGGTTGCGCCCTATATATATATATAATGCCATCCGCTTCTTGTCTTCACTGCACACATGAAGATGGAGCACACGTTCACTTCATTTACGATCGACCAATGAAATTGCTTTTGGAGGAGAAGAACCTCGCCTGAGCAGGCGTCAGCGTCTTCGCCCATGGCACCCTTCCCTGCCGGTTGGATCCTGGCCCTGTGCACTGGTACTCGGCGAAAAACGTGGTAGAGGTTGCCTTGAATGACTTCATCGTCGTCCAGCCTTCGGGGCGAATACAGTCGTGCATGAACGTCTGGATGAAGATGGTCCTGGCGTAGGTTCCCCACGCGCGCCCCAGCCACCCCTTCACGCCCAATCCGCATTGGATACTACCCCTCAAGAACACGAATCCGGAGGGTGCGTTGGCCGTGTTACGCTGCTGCGCAGTGTACGTAGCGTACGTGGAATCCACCCTCTTCTTCGCGTACAACGTGCAGTCCTCAAAGAAGACGGTTCCCGCGCCAAACGCGAAATCCACCGTCCCGGAAATCCAGCAGCTCTTGTAATACTGCCTTCCCGCGTGCGCGAACAGCGTGTCTTGATGTCCATCGATTCTGCAGTTGTAGAAGCTGGAGTCCGCCAGCACGTAGAGAGCCACCGCCTGCTGATTACTACTCCCCTTCTTGTTCGGTCCATGGTCGTTCACAAAGGACACGCCCGTGGCGGTGAACCCGCTCGCGCCGCCCAAAACGGTGAAGGTGGCGGACTTGTCGGTGCCGCCCGCCTCCCCCGCGGAGTCCCCCCACACGATGATCGACTTGCCAGGCGTCCCGATCAGTTGAATCCCCTTCTGACTCACGCGCACCTTCTCCCTGTACGTGCCTGGGAGCAGAACGATGCGTGTTCCAGCAGCAGCTCGGTTCAGCGCCTCCTGCAGCTTGCGGAATTGCCCGCCTGGCCCCACCGTCACCTGAGCGCCCGCCGTCGGAAAGACCGTCAACGCCGCAAACAGAGAAATCAGAAAGGTAAGGGAAACAGCCATGGAAGACAACGACGACGCCATCTTCGCCGCCGCAGGGAAGATTGCGCAGACTATCTTCCGCCGAGCAACCACAGGTCGGCGGCTGCCCTCCACTACCGTAGCTCCCAAAGCTTCCCCCCACCACCCGCCTCTCCGCGAGGCAAGACAAGACAAGACAAAATATTGACGTTCGGTTCTTCACAACTGGCGGCGAGATGGACTTTTAAAAAAAAGACACTGGCTTGTGCGGCTCCCCGGTGCACATACCCC